CTCGTAAGTGCAATGACTAGTGAAAGAACTTGGCACTGTAGACTTGTTGACTTCAGAGCAAACAAAAGCCGAATCCTCGAAGCTCACTAACCAGCTCAAGGCTAAACGGAAACGCGATGATCTCAGCGATCAAAGAAATGAGCGACACGTGGACGCTTCTTGGCCGCTCGCACGCTGGTAAAAAACGACCATTACGAAATGTTCCTGAATCATGCATCTTACCCTACCGTCCTTGCTTCAGGGGAGTTTGCTGGTGGTCACCCTGAGGGATTCACATTACATGGTCTCCATGGTTTCCTGCCTCCGATCAGGCTCAGTCACAACAACTTGAGGATGTTCCCTAGAGGACTCCTCCTGCCTTGATGTCATCGTCCAACAGTTTGGCAGCTCTGGCACTACCACTGTTAATATTTGTCCGTCAAGTTTCAATTGACCTTGAAGGTTGTTCATTCTGGTGCGCAATGGTCCGGGTCGATGATAGTCGAAACCGCTCCTAAACAATTGTGACCGCTTACAACCGCGTTTGACGAATTGTTACAAGGTGGCGGTTGTAAATTTCAGTTCGGTTCGGTGCCTGAAGAGGTGGTGGTTGGCAACTTTCGGCTGGGTGAGAAGAAGTTGACGGTTGACCAATGACCGTGCGCTGCCCGTGGTGCACGTCATTGTCAACGGAACGCACATTCGGTTGTCGGGGGTTGGGTTGGACCGTATAAAAGCCCGACTGTGTGTCAGAGGCGAATTTGTTTTCTACACGGGCGACATGCATCGTTGACAACACCCAGCTCACACGAGCGCGCCTTGAACTGACGAGAGGACAACGAGAACCACCCAGCACCCCCGCCGCACCCCCACGACATCGCGCTCTAGCATCAGTGCATTTGTTCCATGTTCGATGGTTCCCGCATGGAACCGTACTGAAAACTTCTAGAGTCTTAGATTACAGTGTAATACCGACGGACTTGAACACAGTCCGTCTGCCCCCGTCATTCCCACTCAGTGTGAGTAACACGGTTGTTACCCAGTTTTCGTAGCAGGCAATACTCAACAAAAGACCGAGGACGACAATCGTCGTTGACACGCAGTACAGTACCCCCACGAGCGCGCCCTGAACTGACGACCAGACAACGAGAACCACCCAGCACCCCGGCCGCACCCCACCACATCGCACAAGCCTCATCAGTGCATTGCTCCAGGTTCGATGTTTACCGCATTGCATCGTACCGGAAAGATAAAAAGCCTTACAATACCATGTATACCTACGGACTTTGGTACTGTCCGCCTGCAGCTGATCCGCTACCATTAAAGCATCCAGCGTACAAAAATTGATGATAGGTATCTATGTTTTACCATTTTGGAGTTTAGTTCTCTTGTTTGTCGATTTTTCCACAAGTTTATTCCTTATTATTGTTGATGCCGAATGAGGCACAATCATCCGACCGTCTGATCATTGCAGGACCAGAATGTCGCGAGTCTTGTCAGTGATTCGCCGCTGGTTTCGCTCCCGGGAAACCAGCGACAGAATCACCGCAAGTTCAGCCGCGTTTCGCGACGATGGCGCGTTTGCGAACAACCTCAACATCAGCGTGCGCGTTACCTTCCCCGAAGCTTCGTCTCGCCCGCGACCTCTGCGTCTGATGACGCTTTATCTAATCGGTCTACTATTCACGGTCACGGTAGTTATCCCCGTAACGAATCGGCATGTGATGAATCTTAACGAGTCTCCTGGTTTGCAAACCCTTGACGACAGCCATGGCGGAAGGGTACGGTTGGGTACCGGGCGGAGAATAATCGGGATGGGCGGAGTGGGTGGAGGAGGAGGAGGAGGAGGAGGAGGAGGAGGAGGAGGAGGAGGAGGAGGAGGAGGAGGAGGAGGAGGAGGAGGAGGAGGAGGAGGAGGAGGAGGAGGAGGAGGAGGAGGAGGAGGAGGAGGAGGAGGAGGAGGAGGAGGAGGGGGAAGTGCTGAAAAGGAGGGTGAAATAACGAATGGTACAGTAACGAGTAATGGGGATCAATCAGGAAGTGGCCAGTCGGGAACTCCACCGTCCGTGAATACCAATCGTAATGGTAGTGATAATAGTGAAGGGGAAGGGAGCAAGAGAGAAACGACCCGAGAAAGTGGCGCTACTGCTGAGCTGAGAGCTGAGGATGGCAATTTGCAGGCTGGGATTAACAAGGGGTTCAATGTCGCTGAGAATGAGAGTGTGAGGAAGAGAGAAGAAGAGGTCAGGAAGGAGGAGGAGGAGAGGAGGAAGAAGGAGGAAGAAGCAGAGAAGGAGGAGGACAAGGTGTTTAGATTCGACGATGAGGAGGAAGAGGAGAAGGAGGAAGGGCGGGGAGGCGAGAAACGACACGAAGAGCAGGGAGCTGGGTTGGTAGCAGGATCTTCAGCAGAAGGCGTAGCTGTCGTGAATTGTGAGATGTTTTTTGGGGGGTGGAGTGGGGGGTAGGGGGGGGGGGGGGAAAGGTATGGGGACGGGGAGGGGGTTGGAAACGGGGGGGGTGGGGGAGAGGGGAGGTATGGGGAGGGGGAGGGGGGTGGAAAGGGGAAAAGGGGGGGAGGGGAAGGGGAAATGAAGCGTTGAGCCTGCAATCGATACCCCAACACCCCTCCTTCCTCTCGCTCCTTCCCCCTTCCCTCCCGTTCCCCCGACCCCACCACCTCCACCTTCGACCTCCCCCAACCCTCCCTTTCCTTGAATTTTTCCACTCCTCCCCTCGCCCGTGATTGCCAGACCCATCAGCGCGACGTTGTGCTGCACAATCTTCCCTCCCTTCTCATCGTCCCGTGATTGAAGAAGCGTTTTGAGACGTCTCAAAAAACGTCTCAAAACACTTCTTCAAACAGACCCATCAGCGCGACGTGCTGCTGCACAAACTTCCCTCCCTTCTCATCGTCCCCCTCCCTGACCCAACCCCATTCCGTGTTCCCTGTTGACCCGTACCAGACCCCTCAGTGGAGAGCGTACGGTCCTGTGAGGAAGTGCGGAGACCCCTCAGTGGAGAGAGTGCGGTCATGTGAGCAAGCTCATCTCCCCTTCCCCTTCCCCCCTCCCCCCTTTCGGACCCAACCCCATTCCGTGTTCCCTGTTGACCTGTACCAGACCCATCAGTGGAGAGAGTGCGGTCCTGTGAGGGAGTGGCAGAGGACGACATTGTTCTCCGCATGCTCCTCTCCCCGACGCCCCTCATGCTCACTCCATCCTCCCACCCTCGCCCATCCTCGCCCACTCCATCATGCTCTCCTCCCCTCGCCCATCCTCGCCATGCCAGACCCGTCAGTGGAGAGAGTGCGGTCCTGTGAGGGCGTCGCAGAGGACGACATTGTGCTGCGCAAGCTGCTCTCCCCGACGCCCCTCAAGCTCACTCCCCTCGCCTTCCACCCCTCCCTTCCCCCCCTCGCCCATGCGTGCCATGTCAGACCCCTCAGTGGAGAGAGTGCGTTCCTGTGAGGGCGTCGCAGAGGACGACATTGTGTTGTGCAAGCTGCTCTCCCTGACGCCCGTCAAGCTCACTCCCCCCCCCTCCAACTCCGTTCCCTTTTCTCTCTTGGCACGTATCAGACCCCTCAGTGGAGCGGGTGCGCTCCTGTGAGGGGGTGGCTGAGGACGACATTGTTTTGCGCAAGCTGCTCTCCCCGACCCCCCTCAAGCTCACTCCCAAAACGCTCCCCGCCAACCTCGTCCTCTCCTTCGCGCTCGGCCTTTCCGCTGCCAACCTATCAGCACTCGCCACGTCATTTAGAAAATTCGTATTAGAGGGAAGCAGCAGCGGTAGCATTAGCGGTGGCGGTGGAGGAGGGGATGGGAGTGACGGTGGGGGTGAGGGGGTACACGGTGGTTCCCTGCTGGTGTTTTTCATGCAGGAGTGGCCACAGGGGTGGAAGCACCAACCGGGGGTTGCACTGCAAACGTTCTGCTCACCAGAAGAAGGTCGGTCAGTCTGTACCTCCTGTCATGTCTTGTCAACCCCCACGCCCTCAACCTCCTCTTCTCTTCATATCATGTCTTCTATCCAAACCCCACGAGTCTTGTCAATCAAACCAACCCATTTTCCCGGGCAACTCTGGCGACGCTTCTTTTTACCAGGCCGAGCTACAAACAAAACCTGCCACCGCATGCCTCCAATCAGCCTGAATTATCTTGCTTACTCTGAGTTCTGTATCCCCGTAACATATCCCACTCATTCTGTCTTTCGCTGCCGTGGTGCTCATTTTGCCTTTCTGAAACCCTTTGACCTTTCACACTCGTTTCCAGGCAAGTGGGGCAGCAGCACATGCCATCAACCTGCATCATCAAGCTCATAATGCTTTTCTGGAACCCCTTGACCTATCCCACCCACCCTTTCCAGGCAAGTGGGCAGCAGCGCATGCCACCAACCTGCGCTATCGTGCCTTCCACCTCTTCCTGCGCTCGCTGGACTTTGAGGGAACCGTCATCCTCACTGACCCTACAGATGTTCTCTTTCTTGCCAATCCTTTTCCTACACTCAACGACATGTCGTTTCATCTCTACACGGTAAGTTTCCTTATCATGTGTTTTTCCAAACCTCAAGAACGTCTCCCAATGACATGTCTTATCACTGCATGGTACTTTTTCTTACTGGGAGCATCCCAGGCTGGTGCATTGGGGAAAGGGAAGTGGGTCAGAAGGGCTGCGTATGTCACATACACCTGTGTGTATTTGGCTGAATTTGTATGCTACTTGTTCCGTTTTACCCTCCGTGGCTCTTCATGTTCCATTTCCAGGGCTCGACCACATACCCAGCACATGGCATCCGTTTCCTGCCTCCAGAGCACAAGCGCCTTGCGGCATGTTATGGCACCCGCCTGGCATTCTCGCTCGCAAACTCACGAATAATCACATCCGGCTTTGTGGCGGGGACTATGAGCCAGGTGCCAGAGTTCTTGATACAGGTCATAGAAGACTTTGAGAGGCTACCAGAGGATTGTATAGCGCTGGAGGGAAGCGATGAAGCTGTTGTGAACCATCTCGTACGATCAGGTAAGCAGCATTGCAGCAGCTATCTAAAGCATTGATGCATCGGCTTGCCTTTTTACCAGGCTGTTTCTCTTAACTCCTACCTAATCAATGAGTGATTGTTGTGATGCAGGGCGTTTGAAAGAAGGTATAGATTTCTTGAAGATAGAGGATGCACAGCAAGGGAATGTTTTGCATCGGTTTAGTGCAGAAGACTCGTTTGAAGTGAAAGAAGGTGGACGGGTTGTGAATGCAATGGGAAGGACCATCGTGGCTATCCATGGGTATGACAATTTTATTGACTCGCAATTGCTTGTAAAGGATGTGATTGGGCAGGCTATCCTACAACCATGATTCATGATTGCCAATAAAAAGTTTCTCTTGTCACAAAATTCCAGCAGTAATTAGTTACATTTACAAATGATTTATGCAACATGAAGCTTGTGGGTTAACATTCAGGCTGGGCATAGGCACTCTTCTGGGTTTGCAAAGAAGTTGCTTGTTGCTGACCTCCCGTGGTAAATAAAGCGGTCCTCATGGACAGCTCTGACGAGCTCAAGCAACTCACGCTCCTTGGACGTGTGGTGGCATGAGTATAAGGATGCCAGTTTTTTCAAGTCCGGTTGTACACTCCTCCGCCCATAGTAAAGCCTGTACTTTCCACAAGTCAGAAGGACCACCGCAACACAAGGCAGCGACATAATGAGTGAGCATACACATCACCTGTGCCCAATAACAAAACTTGGAAAATTTCCCGTTGCAGTTGGAATGAAGATGCCACTTTCTGTGGAGACTATGTAATCAATAGCTGCTAGTGCAGATGCCCTCTCCTCCAACGGACCAAGTTCTTCCTGCATATACAATGTAAATTAGAGGTGATCACAGCAATAGTGTGGACACTGGGGGCGTGGTGTGCCTTGTTAGTACTCGTACCCGTGTCAGAATGTCCCGTTTGGTCAGAGCATTTGGGAACATGGATCGCAGAGACTGAAGGCTATAATTACCACCAAAAAGCTGTCCCTCTAATGTGGCAACGTAGATGGCTGAGCTTTTGCGAACTCCCATTGCTCGCATAAAAATGCCCGTCTCGATGGCCCTCATTGGACACTGACCAAGTACACGCTGGCTAGCAGGATTTAGTGCTTCACGAAGCTTCCTTGTTGCTCTGTCCCAGTGCTCTACTCGGTACTCCTGCCAACAGTAGATGAGATCGCAGCAAGCAGAAACATTTTAGACTGGGCAGAAAGATTATAGACTGGGTATAGGACAATAGTTCCATACCTCTAGAGCCAGCTTCTCCTTCTCTCCACCCCCGAATTCACACATTGAATAGGCAACAGCATCAGTCTCGAACCTCCAATGCAATGACACGAAGTTGGATGAAATCTTCTTCATTCTCCGTATGACCTTTCTTCCCAGTAAAAGAATTGAATTCACGAATCTGAGGCCCTGTTACAGATCAAATGTTACAAGCGTAGCCATTTAAGCCAATACAATGCACAGAGCAGAACAGGCGCACCTCATAGTTGACCTTGCACCGGAATAGCTGCCACGATTCTGGAAGAACGTTTCCAAGGCGCCGTGCGAAGGGACTTAGTAGAACAATGTTGCTGTTTTGGGCTGAAGGCTTAACGTTCTCCACGTACCTGTGCTCAGGAGAAATTACACGAATGCTGGCACAGGCATTCAACAAATCTTACACCCTACCAATCCAACGTTGCCAGAGCATCTTCAGGAGGTCTGAATTCATGAATGGGAAGTTGTTTTGCCTCTTCAGGGATGGTTGTAACCACTTTGACGAAGCCTTTCAGCACCGACTCAAAATTCGTCAGGTTGAATAAATCTTGAAACGAGCTGTTGATTCAACTGTTATTTGCCCATGGATGACGGTCAGGAGATCAAATTGAATGACTAAGCAGACGATTCACCTGCTATCTCCCCAGACAGGGTGGGCTTTCAAGAATGGCACAACAAGTGTCAAATTTAGAAAGCGTGCTAGGACAACGGCATTGACAATTGCTCCTCGCTGTTGATTGAGACCGCCATTGCAAACGGTGACAAGGAATGAACCAGTCGGCTTGTAGGGAGCTGCAAAAGGCATATGAGGAGATTCCGTACGGCATAGTAGTAACGATAGGAAAAACTAACACTCACGTAGCCTATGAATCAAATCATGAAAACGTCGGCCACATTTTTTTACAGTCGTTTCTCCCGGAGGGGAATAATCTAGTAAGCGTTCCTGCGGAAGGATGAGGTGAACTGTGCAGGCGAAACAGCACGCAGAAAGAAATTATGCTTACCCTTAACTCAGCTGACCGTTGAGCGTTAGCGACATATTTGCTCAAGATTGAAGATTTCATTATATTACCATCGTACGCCTGCAAGCACTCGTTATGTTACACGTAGAGGATTCCACCTAGACACGCGAAAAAGCAGTCTACTAACCGCTGCCATGCAGCTTCCATGAAGAAAAACAACTAGAGCAAAAATAACGATAAATTCAAGTTGGAGCATTATTACGACGCGCGCTGGCGAGAGTGGAACAAGGTGAAATTTGCTGCTGGGTGATTAGGATGACCAAAGAACCAAAACCAACAAAGAAAAAGCGGAGGTCTGATGTACTCGCCCCAGAATACCTCGTTACCATGAGACAGCTTTGCAAAGAGCCTTGTATTGCACAATACTGAATTGCTAACGGAAACGCTGATGTTGAGGTTGAGTCTTGTAAGGAAAATTCCTTTTCCTTACTTCGCATCCCTGCTCAACACGTACATCACTGTAGCACCACAGTCAGCGCCGTTACCACTCACCACCCTAGCATCGACAATCCGCCCGCCACCTTCGCACATCGCACCCCGACCTCACGGCTCGGCGGGTAACCCGCGCTCCGGGCCTCCGCTTCGACACTTTTTCCCAACCTCAGTCCCAGGCCCGTCGCGCGACAACCACAGTCCATTACTGTTACCACTGTAGTTTCGCTATATATTCTTCGCTCATGCCTTCGCTCATTGTACTCTTGCTTCGATAGTGCAATTCTTGTTCGTCCACTCAATTGCACTCGTAACATTTGGTTATCAAAGCCTACGATCTCCTCTCGGACCGCACCCACACCTTCGCTTCCCCACTATTTCAATTTTTTGGGGGGTAGACGTCTCTCATCGACACAGCACTGCCGCTCGTAGTGCTCTCTCGTAAGCATGCACGGCCACGACCGAGGCTCTCGCTGAGCTCGCCCGTCACCCCCGCCATGGCCGAATTCACGCTCGCCACATTGACGCAGGAGCAGCTCGACCGTCTCGTGCGCCAACTTGAAGATTCGGCGCTCGAAATTGCAACGCTCACGGCGGAACGTGACTCCATGTCAAATTATAATGTTGTGTAGGTTGTAGTGGGGTAGCCTATATGGGGTACACATTTCTCGGGTTGCATATTTGTACCACTTTCATTCCTTAGTCAATCATTCTCGTTTCAGTTTTCTCATGGTATTGAGCAGGTTCCCTACTGGGAACTGTGCCTAGGGCCCACCAAGTCGATTTTTTTTTTCCTGCCCGGAGCGCGCTCCGCCCGAGTTGCGCTCCTCTCTTTCATCTCGTCGAGCCGCCCTAGCGACTTAGTCACGCCGCCCTAGCGGCCCCGTCGCCCTAGCGGCCCCATCGCCCTAGCGGCCCCGTCGCCTAGCCCTACGGCCCCGTCGCCTAGCCCTACGGCCCCGGCGCCGCCCTTACCCGGCCCCACCGCCCTTCGCTGCGGCCCCGCCGCCCTTCGCTGCGGCCCCGCCGCCCTTCACTGCGGCCCCGCCACCCTCCGCTGCGGCCCCGCCTCCCTTCGCTGCGGCCCCGCCGCCCTTCGCTCCGGCCCCGCCGCCCTTCACTGCGGCCCCGCCGCCCTTCACTGCGGCCCCGACGCCCTTCGTTGCGGTCCCGCCGCCCTTCGCTGCGGCCTCGCCGCCCTTCGCTGTGGCCCCGCCGCCCTTCGTTGCGGCCCCGCCGCCCTTCTCTGCGGCCCCACCGCCCTTCGCTGCGGCCCCGCCGCCCCTGTTGCTGCGGCCCCACCGCCCTTCGCTGCGGCCCCGCCGCCCCTCTCGCTACGGCCCCGCCGCCTACCTTGCGGCCCCGCCGCCTACCTTGCGGCTCCGCCGCCTACCTTGCGGCCCCGCCGCCTACCTTGCGGCCCAGCCGCCCTTCGCTGTGGCCCCGCCACCCCTCTCACTGCGGCCCCGCCACCTACCTTGCGGCCCCGTCGCCCTACCAGCGGCTCTGCCGCCTTACGCAACCGAGTCGAGCAGCCCGAGCCGCCCGTTCCGCCCAAGACGCCCGAGCCGCCCGAGCTGCCCGAACCACCCGAGCCGCCCGAGCCGCCCGAGCCGCCTGAGCCGCCCGAGCCGCCCGAGCCGCCCGAACCGCCCAAGCCGCCCGAGCCGCCCGAGCCGCCTAAGCGGCTGAGGAGCCGAGCTGCTGGTGCCGTAGAGCCGCAGTTGCTGTTGAGCCGTCCGAGTCGCCCGAGCCGCCGTGTTGCCGAGCTGCTGTGCTGCCGAGCTGCCCGAACCGCCCTGTCTGGTGAGAGCAGCGCTTCTCTCACTGCACTGCCCCTCTCCTACAGTTAGCACTGCTAGTCTACTGCTGTCATGGCTACCCCCAGGGTTCTCGCTTTTGACGCTGAGGGTCGGGCCATTGACTTTGAGGTCTTGGTATATGACCTGCAGCTTTTCCTACAGTGCGATAGGGCAGACGGTCTCTCTCTCTTTGACCTCACCTCTGGCGCCTCTCCTGCCCCTACTACTGATGTTGACGCCACTGTTCGCTTCCAGTCGGCCACGCGCGATGCTGCTGCACGTCTTGCTGTGCATCGCCACCTGCCTACCACTAAGCGCGCGCACTTTAGTCAGTACAAGAGTGCTCAGACCTTGTACGACGCTGTAGTTGCGCGCTACTCTTCCCCTGCCACTGCTGCACTGAGCCGCCTCATGCTACCGTACCTCTTCCCTGACCTTGCTGCCTTTCCCACAATCGCTGACCTCATTACGC